ATCTTGGTGTTTCGTCATGCTTTATCTTTAATGGTCTTCAGTCCTTTTACGTATATTTGCCTTCTTATAAATATTTCAAGAATAACGTCAGCCTTCTTGACATGAATGAATTAATTTACGCGAAACTTTCCTGAATAAAATATTTTATAAAGTATGCATCCCTGCGGTTTAAGAATAAACATATTTACAGAAAGGATAGTTTTCACATTATCCTTAGTTTTTCAGAATTCGCTATACCTTTAATGGTATTCAGTTCCCTATACGTATTTGCCTTCGGCAAATTTTTACAAATATCCCACGAGGATTACTCAATCGCGTCGCTCTTCCTCGTACATTTTATGTGCCTCTTCCCGTGCGCGTGACACTGGCTGGTTGTATGCAATCTTATAAAATGTATGGACGATTGAAAGGTGGCTACGCATGTTAAAGCACAATTCACCGTGAAAAACGTCTTCCCGACGATCGTTTCGCTGACGTACAATCTTTTTAGCTCCAAGTTTCGTCCCCCCCCCCCGCCCTTAACCCCCGGAGGGACGTCTTTATTTCCTTGGATACTGTCGATAATTTTACGGGCCTCCGACTCCGTCTGACATACATGTAGCACATAAATAAATTTTATGTATCTAACTGGCATAGATCTCGAAAATCTGTATCACTGTTTTAGAAACACATGCGAAACGATTCCGAGCGATCGCAATTTTCCTGAGATTTTCTTTTTACAAATAATCCGTCGGTCTACTGGAAAAATAATTGCCGACCTACTGCACGTGGAAACTGTAATTTTGTTACGTCAGTCTGATCGATTATCGCGAAAATTGTCCGTACTTATTTAATTAAAGGAGAACCGTATCGGTCGTGTCGAATTGTCATTGCACAGATACAGATTCGAAGAAATTAATGGGAACTCTGGTCTTAATTCGGCGAAAGGACGCAAAGTTGAGAAGTTCGAAGGCTGAAGGCTTGTAATCAGCTTTCACAGTGAAGTTTGCTTATGTTAGTTCGCTTCCGGTCCCCGGAATAACTTCGATAAACATTTTCTCCCCCTTCTGCCTTTGAAACTGTTCGCCATGAACAGTGCACGTGGAGTATAGCCGGATTCGGCCAAAAAACAACTAATTCAAACTGAATTAAACAAAGGAGATTAATGACGTCGACGTTTTGCTCGGTAGAATTTAATACAGAAGACTGGCGTATTATAAAAATGTGTTGCATCTTACGTTCAGTTCTTATTACGTTTTTCAATTTACATTTTAAACCGTCTCACGTTCAACGTTCTCCTCGTCTAGTCTTCTTTTTTTATCAATTTGGACAACGGCAGCGACAACAATAACAACGCTATCACCCTTAATAGTCCTCGTTCAATTTAGCTCGTTCTATGAGAATTGATATTTCTATACTCAGACTCTTTAATGATGAGATTTGATATTTCTATACTCAGACTCTTTAATGATGAGATTCGATATTTCTATACTCAGACTCTTTAAAGATGCGAATACAATTATTATAAGAACGAGATATTACGGAATCGTTTAATTAAAGCTCCCTTCGATATTCGATTTAACAGAAAATAGATTTATCTGTACATTAGAATCAGGGTCGACCGTTCTCTTTCGATTTGACTCTCGAGAAAACGTCTATTCGCATCCGCGCAGTTTGAATATCCGGTTTAAAGAACTGAAAAGCGGAAATGCAAATTTCGTCCGAGTGAACGTCGTTGAATTATTATGTATCTTAAGTCCACCGTAACTTACCTTGGTGTTCGGGGAAAATCTCATGAAAATTAATTTATTTTAATGCGCTTCTGGACCGGCTGCAGGATAGATAGACGTGAAAAGAGTAACCGGGCGGGAGGAGGAGGAGGAGGAGTTTGAGAGAATAATTTAATAACCACTGCATGAATAATTTCAGCAAATCCCTAGGAAAATCGAATCAGACGGTGAATATCGACTTTTCCCTTCGATGACCGAGCCTAAATAAACTTTTCGCTCGATTTCAATCGATGAATATGTATGGGTGCATTATACATATGTACGTACATACATACGTACACGTACACCTGCGTACATACGTGTCCGACAGTTTTCCTCTCGACCCCTTGGCTTGATCCACTATTGGTTTTTTATTAGTCTACGGTTTCGTTTAATTGATAGACACAATTACAATATTTATCATGCCGATTTGTTTACTGTTAATTACTTGGTCTATGAATGCATAAAAATTCTGTAAATATGTATAATTCCAAAGATTCGAGCTAAACGTGTCTTATGTATGTCTGAAAATATAAAATGTAAATATGATTTTACGAATTGATAATTTATAAGTTTATTTAAAAATAATTACGTTCTATCTAAATCTGAAAGTACGGAATTTACATAATTAATTGAACTAGAATTTTATCTATTATTACGGATCTCAAAACGTCAATTAATTATTCGGAATTAAATTTAAATCAGTTTTGTGTAATTTACGTTCAATCAATTTGTGCGTTTCTGTTATTTGTTCGTTTAGTTATTTTCGGTGCTAAAACGTTGAAAGCGTGTAATTTCTGTATTAATGAAAAAGAACCGATCTTTTTGAAAATCGAGCTTGAAAGGGTATAAAATGGTACGGAAATTGGATCAAACACATCTCAATTCACATGCATACATGTGCGTGACGCTCTTACAAGTGAAAATCCATAGATCATCCAGCTGTGACCCATAAATCTATAAATAAAAATTCTTATCAATAGGGGTAATCAAGGAATATCGATTCGGGCCACGCTTTTTATAAATTCATATTCAATATACTTATCAGATTCGTGTTTGACGAAAATGGCATGAAAAACGATATTGAATATGTAATCTAGAAATGTTTCAAATAATTTCACGAAAAATCGTTATTAGTACAATCGGTGAAGGATCTTTGTCTTATTGCTTGTAAATTAATATTAAAATGAATGCAGTTATTTCTAAAGTAATTGTATACCGATGAATTGCAATGCTGCTTCAATTCTATATTCCGTTGGTAATTGTATTATTTTATGAGCTATCAGATATGATAATAGTATGTAATAACAACCACGAGATATGATCTAATATAACAAGATTTACTTCGCATACAATTTCACGTTGTTATAAATTTCTTATGATATGAAATACTGGAGACACATGAAGCCCTCATTTATTAAATTCTGACACCAATTATTTAATTTGTTCAAGACGAAAATTTCACTGAGCCTTCTTGATCCAATTTGGATATTTTTTAATAACTCACTCGCTAGAATAGGAAGAATTACTCAATTGCATTTTAATTGACATTTTATTCTGAAATATCATGAACGTTTATATTGGAAATACATTTCCAATATCCCCAGTCGACATTTGGATATTTTTTAATAATTTATCCACCACAAAATAAAAGAGATTAATAAATTGCATTTCAATTTATATTTGATTTGTCGAGAGGATTTTTGATTCCTATATTTTTTCGGATATCACGAGCTATATTTGTATTGGAAATACTTTTGCAATATCCCCTGTAGATATTTTTTACTAATCCACGAGAAAGGATTAACAGATTGCATTACAATTTACATGACTCGCAAGATTCGTCGGTATTTTTGATTCCTCTATTCCCTGGGATATCACGGGCTAAATTTGTATCGGAGATACTTTTGCAATATCTCCTGTGGATATTGCAATAGAAACTACAAACCGCCGTAAGTGTTGAACGGGATTGTGTGCGGACGTGCATACATTGGAACGTGCATGTGATTGTGCACGTGCGTGTCTATGGGCATATCGACGGGAGCCGAGAGGAGCCGAGTAAATGCCCGAAGAATGCCGACCAGGACCCTGCGCGCTCAACCCAAACCGGAGGAAGCGTAGTCGCATTTAAACTGCCACAGTATCGACATCTCTTTCCCTTTACGTGCCGTAGCTCTGTCAAATAGTCAGTGACCACACAGTTTTCGCAGTACCACGGCCACACGCACACAGTGGCAGTCTAGCTGACGTTCTGTTAATTAGTGCATTAAACACGGTTCATTTAGTATCATATTCCATCAGTGTAGCCACCGCGTACACGCGATCGTTCTACGCTGCACTAAGTACACTTGCTGAACGGTGTTACGTTGAAAACGGTGACAATTATTATTTTACGAACGCCGCGTCACGTCTCTAACAAGATTTTGTCAAACGCCTCGCCGTTAGCTGCAATTATCTCGATGGTAATCCCTGTTCAATCCACACCTTCGGTAGATCGCTATTATTAACATTGTAACATGTACACCTGATCCGTTTCCAATTACATTGTTGACAATTATTGTTCACGCTTTAGCACCACCGCCGTTCAATCTGCTCCGAGCACTCTCATTACCAGTATTATACACGGGGGCGTTCTTTTTTTCGTTCGTCAACAATTGATATTTCATCGGTTCCCAGCGTGTGCTGGCAAGTATGCTCATCGTTCGATGATGCGTTACAATACATTGACAATTATTGATTAATCCGTAGATACTCTGTTTCATTGGTAACGAGTTCTTTCGATTCTGCGTTTATCCATCGGGATGCATTAATCATCGTTTTACTCAATGTTCATTCATAGGGGATTGTGAGATCCATCCGTGCCCGATGGTTCATCCATATTGCTGGGTCTAAGTACAACTTGACGAATGTCAAATCTACGGCAAAACCTCGACGGTCATTATTAGACGTGTACATTTTATCATGATTGTTCCTGTTTTTTTCTTTTCCATTGGTTTTGCAAGTCAAGAAACAAGGGAGCCATCTGTAAAATGTAAATGGAATGCTCAATTTTCGTTTTATTCGACCATTTTGGCTCCCAAGAATTTCTGATCATTCAGCAACTGCATCCGCGTTTCTTTTTCTTCTATGAATAAAACGTACGTTTTCTGAATCTGAGAATATTGCATCAGAACAAAAGAATTCCTGTTCAGAGGCGTTTTTATCAGTTCGAAGGTAACGGTTAGAATTGGTGATTTTTCACATACCGAAGGAAATTTCGATAGCGTGAAATATTTCGACTACTTGATAAAATTAAGTATTTCTGTACAAGAGTAAACGTTTCACGGTATTACCGAAGTTCATACAGGGCATATTGACCGTCGATTTTCGAGTAAATCTCACGGCTTAAAATTGACGAGCATTATTTTATCTATGTGTAACGAGACAACTGTTAACTGTTATTATATCAGCTCTCGTTATTAACCAGCTTTCACGTTTTTACCTATTTTATAATGAGATCCAATTACATTTGAAAGTAGATAATTAATATTGTAATTACATCAGAAGGCGGGGAGTACGTTTCTCAAGTACTGACCTAACTAAATCTTCATTTTTAAAATCAATTTCATTTTTTACTGTTTTGTGGAAAGCCTGCCTGGTTTTCGTGGTTCCTCTTAGAAATAGACGCGAATATATTCAAATCTATAAAATCGTGAATAAATTTCAATGAAAACGAAAAGGAAGAAATGGTCCCGAAGCAGAATTCAAATTGGATGCATTCAGAGTTCTCAATTGGATAAGGATCTCTTGAAGGAATGGGAAAATAGTGAATAGAACTCGAATTACCAAAAATCATAATTCCTAATCTTGACAAAAGAAAATCGATGAAAATCGAAGACGATTACCTGTAAATAAATTGAATTGGGAAACTAGAAAGGAAAATTGGGACGGGGAAGGGCGGTCGGTGTCCGAAACGAAAAAGAATTCGAATCAGGTGAAACGAAAGTTCTTAATCTAAAATTAGATAAAAGAAAATGGAGAGGGGGAAGGATTCTCTCTTGTAGAGAAGTCGAATTGGAAAATTGTTGAATGCCCAGAGCTCTCAAGCGAATGAGAGCGAAACGAAAAAGAGTTCGAATTAGGAGAAATCAAAGTTCTCGAGTCTGAACGTGTCTAAAATTTGATAAAAGAAAATGGAGGGCCGACGAATTCTTGTAGAAAAATCGAATTGGGGAACTGTTGAATGTCTGAAACTCTTAAGGGAAGGAAGAGACGGGAATGGGGAAGAGGACAATCGATACCTGAAACGTCCGAAAAGTTTGTGACGCGGAACAAGTTAGTGTTTGACTCCGGGACGTTTGCACGGAATCGTCGATACCTTACGGCAGATTTAGCGATAAATAGTATTTAGTGAACAATCCTATGGATTTCCCATGGTGTTAATCGTTTTTGTGCTCCGATCCCAATGGAAAACACGACGATGAAACTCCAAGTTAAATTCTCAGTTGAATGGACTGAACCCGAGCGGGACTGTCAAAGTTGGAAGGCATGGGGGAGTCAGCTGCTACGTTATACAGGGTGAGCGAATAAAAACTGATCCCTCGAACGTACATACATACCTCAGGAGCCTTACTTGACGATATCATTGAAGAAATTCATTTTCCTCTGTCAAAAAGCAAGAATAAATCTCTTTATTTTCAGTTTTATGTACAAACTACGTTCAGACAAAATCAATAGTTACGTAACACGTTTTACATCATAATTACTGAGTATACTGCAAAAATGTTGAAAAATACTGAAAAGCAAAGTGAATTTTTATACCTATTATTCTTTGATCCACAAAATTTAGTGTAACAGAAAATATAAAGCTTAAACTTACTCGAATTCTTGATTTTACCTTCAAATACATTAGAGAACTGGTACGATTGACATTATCACGATGCATCGCCTGCGTCTGGCATTATTAATCGAGTTTAGAATGTTGTAACATGAATTGCTAACGATGTTGAATTAACATATTAAAAAATCTATTATTGCCACGTTGTGAAATTCTTTCCGCATGATCAAGTCCAAGGATTGTTTATTACGCTCCTGCTCCTTTGCTCTTATATGAAATTCAAATCGTCGCACATGTATAAATCATAGGTGTATCAGATTTTTAGATTAAAGTGAAACCGGCGCGTGGGAAATATTGTTTTTTTTTTTTCTCTTTTTTTCGCTGGACAGCATCCGCAGTTGTATTTATTTATTCAATTGACATACATGTAGCGTTAAAAAAGTGGACGTCGCGCCGGCTTCGCCGGCCAGCTTTTCCCTTTCCATTTTTCTTTTTTGGGGGATCGTGGGTGCGCGTGCCCCCACTTCGCACCGCAGCCATGGCGTTCCAACCGACGCAACGCAACGTTCGGTTCGGGTCACGGGGTCAGAGTACCTCGAACCTGACTGACATTCCTTCCCACGAACGAATTGGTTTCGATACTGCACCCGCTCGAATTTACCTCTCCTGCCTCTTTTATTTTCCGAGCCCCTCCTGTCTGTCTCTACCCTCTCCGCATTTCCTTTTGGGAAACTTAGACAGCCACATGTTGATCTGGATTAGGATTTACCATTTCTTTGCCAGAGAAACGCTGAACAATTCCATCGAACGACTGTTACAATTCAGTTAATAGTTCTCACTCTGATTTCTTTGGAAATAAATTATATACACTGATAAAACGTGTAAACATTTTGTTAATTTTCTGATTAGTAATTCCTGTACAGTGAATCATTCGTAGATTGATTTAATAATTGCTATGAGATCATTGTATATACCACTGGGAAAGAAGCAGTTTCAAACATCTTGAAACGTTTATTACCAGGTGTGCAAATTGATACGTCGCCTTTGCAGCTAGCTGTAAATTTCACCTATGAATCACTTAATCATATAATCTCTTGCAATTTGTAATTACGTCTTCTGTGCTTGATTAAAGCCGCTTCAGTATGTCTCATACATTTTAGTGTATTGCCTAGAGATAAAACTGGTATTATAAATAATATATTTCTATCGATTAAAGGAAATGAATAAAAACCTGATTCGAGAATAAATACTTTTTTCTGTTTATCTCAGTTCTTGTATGTAAATTTATATAAAGGCTATGATTGTAAATGCTGTTGTAATTGACACATTTTATTCAAATGCTTTGGACTGAACAATTTTGTTAGTATCTCGTTTAAAAGGGAATAATTGCTTCCTGTGAGCACAGATATTTATCATGGTTCTGCGTACGCATGCACGTAACAGAGAGGCTCTTATTGTTAATGGTGCTACAAAAATCCGGTCTAATTATCAGATCAGAAAAATGGCCTCCGACTCGAGTTAGAGAGATAGATTACGTCACCGAAAGCTAACTAACCATGTTAAGGCCTCACACACCTACCATTAAATACGTACGTACGTAAGTACTCGTGGACGCGAGTACGGTTGCACGTTTTGTGCATCATCAGTCACATATAAGATGGGGCATTATAGAAACGCGATGCGTAGGCCGGCCACCACCCACGTAATTATCCTCGGCCATTAATTTTTTTCCCCTACAATGTCACGAGTATCGTATTTCACCTCCTTCAATGAATCTTCAATAAACTCGCGTGCACATCGATCAAACATTTACCAGTCTTCATATTTGACAAATGAGGAATTAACATCGTTTTCATGTGTAATCATCTGATACGTAATTCGTGTTGTTATTAGATGGAAACGTGAGTCACTTTTCTTAATTTTAGATAAGATGACAAAAAGAGTTATGGAAGTCTGCTAATTTTTAATTAATTTAAAAGACTGCACATTCTTGCAATGGTTGACAACACAATTAAATTTTATTTCATGTCTGTTATAATGGATAAAAAGAAGTTGAAAGTCACAGATTAAATGTTAATATTATTATACATAGTTCGTTAAATATGTTACAAGCTACAATGAATATCCATGCTCTTAGTATTATAATTATCTACTTTAAAAAGTTAATCTAATTTCTGGAAATGGAAAATTCAGTATTTAATGAAGAGATACACGTACATTTTCATTAATACCATGTGTTAATTAAACCGCGTTTCGTAGCTGCAAAGCTGGAACAACTATAATAAGCAATTAAGAAGGGGGAAGGACTGTAATTGCAAGATAAAACCAGGCAACGAGTAAAAAAGTATACAGCTTCTCAAAGGCCCTCGTAAAATTATATATATATTTTTTTTTTTTTTTCACGGAAATGTAATAACAATGGTTTCGCTATAATTAATTTCAGTATTTTCCACCCCAGAGAATCCTAACTTCATTTATTTTATGTATAACGTATATAAAAGTACGATCGTGTACATATTTATGTATAGTCATTGTCGGCAGACGCTGAGCCAGCTTCATCCCTTATCTCTTATCTCGGCTACCCTCGCCTTCGAGAATATTAATAATAATAATAATAATTAAAATTACCCTTACACACCTCATATTATAAATATTAAAACATCATCACGAAGAGATTAGAAATTTCATTCATTAGAAATAATTTCATGCTTGTGCACATCAAACATTTGAATAATGCGACATGAAAACTGGAAGATATCTGCTCGACAATGAAATCGATTAAAATAAATTGTTTTATACAACAGTTCTTATTGGCTCGCACTTTGCTTGTATTTACCTGTAAGTATTAAAGTATGCAAGTCGACCTGTTACACTTATTCATTTTTATTCAACACGTTTGCTATTTGGGTTAACAAATAACGTAATAAATTGCCGGCGGCTCTGAATATCCACTTTCGCGAACGTGTCGAACGAAGGATTACATACGCGCGCGCGCGCGCGCGTGTGTCTCCTTTGTCCGTATCCTTCGCGAGCTTGAAATTAACGGCGTTTGAAAAATGAAAAGGAAAAAGATATTAAAGAGCCACTCGCTGGTATGTGACTTAACGGTCGCCAGATTCATACGAGCTGCTAGCAAAAAGCTACACACAGTCGAAAGGGGGAAAAGAAAGGGGGGGGGGCGAGGAGTGGGAGGGAAAGTCTCAATGAGGATAAACGAAACACTGTGCGAGCCATTTTTTTTTGTTCCGTCTCCTCTCTCTCTCATGATTTCAAGAGTGAAGAAGAAAGACTCCCAGAGTGAGAGAGATCTACTACATTCGTAAGAGAGAGAGAATAGACCAGGTTAAAGAAGTGATTCAGAGCCTGGAAGAGAATTGGTGATGCAATGCACATTAAGAATATTGTAACATTTTTCATAACGAAGTGAGGCACTCGAAAAAATAAACTAAGACTTCTACAATGATAAACAGATGGGCAAAGGAAGAGTAAGAATAAAATAAAAGAGGAAGTACACAGGAAGAGAGTGGCAAAGGAAGAGAGTCACGACGCAGAATAGAAACAGTAAGGAATGGAATAAGAGAGACCAGGTATCTGAAAAGAAGAGATGTACATATGTGCACGTGTATATACGAGGCAGAATAGGAGAAGCGAAAGGGAATGGGGAGTACATACATACATGCAGAGCAAGAAGCACTAAATCTAATTGCCTGGCGACGTCGTGGAAAACGAAACGGCGAGACACTCTCTTGCCCCTTTCTCCCTCCTCCTCCCCCCCCGTACGGTTTTTTACCCTCCCTTTGTTTCAAATCGCATTATTGAAGCTTAGTAATACTATACCATTCAATTTCCAACGGCTATTGCCAAGTCACTTGTTTAGATTATCTGAAATTGCTGTTATAAAATTTATTGCTCGTTGATTTTATATTTAGCAATCCAATTGCGACCTGTTTATATACGTCCGGGCTCGTTCTCTCGGCTGTTCTGGTTTTCTGAAAAGATTTTAACAGCTCGTGTTCGACTATCACATTGTTACAATAGTTCGTTAAGTCGATGGCTTAAAACTTTCAAGTGCTCGTTCCGAAGGAATTCGAGCCGGTGGAATTTCAGAGATCCGGATGCGTCACAGGAAGCTAACACTGCTATTCAGCATCCAGTTATACGTTTCTTCTTTTTTTCTTTTTTTTTTTGCTCACGACACGTTTTTTATTTAATTAAAATTAATTGCAATATCGTGATTGATAGTGGCTTCTGATTTCGATAACAAATTTGCGACCGGTGTCGCTGAAAATAGCGGTGACGGTGGCGATGACTGTATTACGGAATCTGTATATGCATACACATGTGTGCCCGCGGTTACATACTTCGTGTGTAGGCGGAAGTAGGCTTGACCTACTTTAATCGCGGTGTTAACAAAGAAAAAAAGTCCCCTACGGGCCTACGGTATCTCGTGAGTCGCTCCAAGGAATTACTACGATCTCAATGAAACTCTGTATAAACTGTAGCTCGACAGGAAGAAATTCTAGTGATTCTGCGTCTTCTAGTTTTACCGTCTCTGCACCTACAATTATTTACCGTTCGAACGATTTAAATATGTTTTTTATCCATTTTAATATAAATTGTTAAAAAATGAATTTTGGTTTAAATATTATATTATTATTGATCCATACTATTAGTTTATTACACTGGACATTAGATTAATCGTAGATAAAATGTTGTATCAAATATCATGACAATAATTATA